GTGGGGCAGACAGACAGACAAACAGAACTTAAAACACAAGTTCCTATATCAGACTAAATCCAATAGGGACTAATAAATTCTCCAACTACATACAGTAACACAACAACAGCATTCCCACTGTCTTTTTTAACTGAGGGTATATGTACCCTCTATACAGAAAACTGGAGGTATAACACACATTTTGGGGGTACACCTGTACCCTCTACATAAAAAATTGGGGGTATTTCCAGGAGGGCCAGGGCCAGTATTATTTATCTGCACTGGGATTGGTTGTTGTAGCTCAGAATAAAGATTATACACAAGATTTCACAGAATTTATTTATTTTGCAATTCTCATTTTTAGAAATTTTTTTACTGGTTGCTTGGATGCATACTCAATTATCATTCTATGTACTACTAGTTGGCCCTCCACGAGCATGTGATTAAAATCCACAGCATCTGCCTGCTCCGGGTAAACATCTTCGTCCATGGTGCGTACCGCTACCTGCTGTAAAATAATTAATATTGTGTTAATACGATCATGCTGACCCTCGGCTCTGCCGGCCATGGTAGAATTCCAGCACGTGACAGTTCAGAGTTGGCAATTATTTTGCACGAAAAAAACACATTAAAATAACAGTAAAATTCTACCGTTACAGTGTACGAGACAGTAAAACTCAAACATGTGTTACGGCTTGGATTCCCACATTGTTACTACAATAAGCGCATTATGCAAGCAAATATCAATGAATACGTAGTTCAAAATTACAGAGATTACTTTAAAAACAGCGAAAATTATATGAAAACAAAATACATACCAGTTATACAGTTGATATGTTCGAGTTAAACGTGTAAGGTCATCGCTAACTGCAAGTAACTCCAAGCTAACATGCCGCCATTTTATTCTACAATGACCCTCGTTTACGATGACGTCACTGATGTGTTATCACGTAAATGGTCGTTTGATTGGCTATTTTTCCATCATCATTACAAAATTAACCAATCATTTTTTCTGTTACAAAAAAAATACTCCTACTGTTAGGCTTTTCCATCTTGTGTTCAACACCCGGCGTTTTACGTAACTTACAAGCTGGTTGTCAAATGTCCGCGCGGAGTTCAATGATTTTCAGGCTAAATTAACGTTGACGTAAACCAAAGAAAAACGTACGCGCAATATAATTTTATACGTAAATGGAACGTAGATGAGTTGAAATTTGGCGCGCACTATTTTATTTATACGTGAATTACGTACTGCAGTACGTGAATGGGAATGCTGAACCGA